GTCAAGTAAAGGGTTTTACCTTTCCATTTGGGTTCAGTCGCCGGATTCTTGTACTCTAATGACTCGCCGGTCATCATCACCGGTGCCATTGACCCTGATTCCCCGCCTCCGGTCATCATCAGCATTCAGAACAAGGGAGCCTTCGATTTCGATTCCACCAACCCTAGGGTTTGCTTTCTCTGCTTGAGGTTATGTTTCGTTTGGCTGAGCGAGGGGTTGTTTAGTTTTTTTTTATATAGGTTTTGGCTGAGGCAATTGCAGTGTAGGCTTTCTTTTCTTGTTGGGCTTTTTGTCTTTTGATTTGCGCAACGGGCCTTGTAAGAACTAGGGCCTGTTTGCCGGGATAGGTTAGACTAGGGCTACAATCAGGAAAACTCATTCGAAACTCGACTTGTTTAATTAGTCGAGTTTGAGCTAAGTCTTCTGTAGCTCGGGAAGCTCGGGAGCTAGCTCGAATCGGTAGGTTGTTGAGCTCAACTTCGTGAGCTGTCTCGTTTAGAGCTCGCAACGTTGTTGCTAGAGAGCCGACTCGATTACCGACTTATGAGCGAATCGATCTATATGAGTTTGATTTCGATAATTCATAGGATTTTCTAATGATGTATCTCACCCTATATGAAGTTTAACACGTAGATTATGTGAGCAAATGTCTTATTTAATTTTAAAAAGAAATTATGGATCATAGATTGTTTTGATACTATGAAAAACATAATTTTGACTAGTTAAAATTTATTTACTAAATAAATGATACCATAATGTATAACATGAGATTAATTAATATTAAACACTTACTTTTTTTCATCTTGACATTAATCACATGTATCATACATGACATATAAAATGAATATATCAAATATGAGTCAAGATTTTAGTAAGCTAGCTAGCTTGAACTCAACTCGGCTCGTTAATGGATGAGCTCAACTCGTTTATTAATGAGACAAACTCAAACTGGTGTAAATATCAGCTCGGCTCAGCTCTTTTCCAAGCCTAGGTTAGCTCTTTTCTCATGGCGTACCCCGGACAGTCGGGGCACAATGAGAGTCTGTGGAAGAAGATTTGGCGGCTTCACGTCCCGGAGAGAGTCTGTTGTTTTACCTGGTTGGTGGCCTTGCGGAAGATTGCGACTAATGTGCTTCGTTTCACCAGGAAGTGTGCAAATTCCCCGGATTGTCACAGATGCACTGGCACCCCGGAGACTATCCTGCACATTCTCCGTGATTGTCCGCCGACTGCGTATTTTTGGTACAGACAGGTTCCTCAGGCAGAGCATCACATTTTCTTCTCGGCCTCGGTTGAGGATTGGATAAGCGGCAATGTTAACAGGGATGAAGAGATGGAGTCAGGTATGGCATGGAATGAGTTTTTTGCATCAGCTATTTGGTTATTGTGGAAGAACAGGTGCACAGCCTGCTTCAAAGGCATTGGAGCGGCTTTGACTGCCCCCTCTCTGGCGAATTCTATCCTTCATAGAGCTTCTCTTTGGCACAAGGCGTGGGCCTCAGGCAGCGCGGGTCATCTCCAAGGCTCCCCTGCGGTTCATAGGGTGCTGGCGGACATCAGGTGGGTGGCCCCCCCCGGCGGCTGGATGAAGTTGAACGTGGACGGGGCGTCGGCTGGGAATCCAGGGCAGGCTGGTGCGGGAGGGCTAATTCGGGATGAGCAAGGCAGATGGCAGGTTGGGTTCGTGGCAATGATTGGGGAGGCGACCGCGGCCTTGGCCGAGTTGTGGGCTCTGTTTCATGGGCTGAATCTCGCTTGGAAGTACAGGTGCACCAACCTTTTGATTGAGACGGACTCTCAACTGGTGGTCCAGTGGCTGAAGAACAGAAGTGACCCTCTCCATCCTCATGCCTCTCTGTTGGCCTCCATTAGGAGACGCATGGCGCAAGACTGGCTGGTTAGCATATCTCATACATATCGGGAAGGGAATAGAGCCGCGGACTGGCTCTCGAAGCACAGTCTCGTCTATCCCTATGGTATGCATGAGCTTGTTAATCCACCTACGGGTATCGGAAGCATTCTTCAGGATGATATGAGAGGAATTTCTTTTGAGCGGAGGGTAATAGCTACCCGGTCTTTGTAATTCTGTTCCCCTTGTACCCCTTCTTGGCGCTAGCCTCCTTTTACGCAAAAAAAAATGGTGTCTGCTATTTAATTTGTGACCGTTTTGTGTTAATTGCAAAAGTTTGTTACTGAGTCGTTACAAATTAAAGATTTGTGACAGTTTTGAGGTTGGATCTTGTGTTCGTTAAGTATATGACACTAACCACTTGAAGAACATATGAGATGTCGGGTCGTGTATTCATCGATATACTTGCTTTGCTGAATAAGAATGCCCTATGTTTACTTTTAAATTTCAATATTGAGAAAGAAAGAAAGTAGACTGAGTTCTTTCAACTAAAAAACAGTCTGTAACCCGTTTGTGAGTCATTGAATTCCTTCACTGACATCCTTTGTTACGATCATATCAATTCACATAAATTAACAAAGACATCATACCTTGACTAGAGCGAATTTTAATAGTGATTGATCGTTCAAACCTTAGAACATTGTACAAAACAGTCACCAAAAGTTTAATATCAAAAGTTTGAACTTGTAAATGGTCACACTGTTTAATTTTTGACCATTTTGTGCTAAGTAAAAAAAATTTGTTACCATATTGTTACAAATTAAAATTTTGTAACCATTTTGTATTTAGTGCAAAGGTTTGTGAACATTTATGATAATTACCTGAATTCTTAAAATTTTGCCACATAAACTCTATCTCACTTTACCAATTGCTAAAAGTTGGTAATGAAGATGGACTAAGTACTTTTTTTAAATGGTTTGTTCATTAAGAATGCGAACGGGTCAGACCATGGTTGTCACGCCGGCCGGCGTGCCACCGGTTGTACCGGGTTCAACCGGTATCGGTCATAAAACCGGCGTGACACCACCGGTATGATCGGCATGATCGATATACGAATCTCTAAGTAAAATGACCTTATTTTAGATAATTTAATTGATAAAAATTATTTTATTATTTATTTTATGAGTATAAAAGTTATATATTGATGTTATTTGTTGGATTCAAATATAAATATTTAGGTATTGACGTTAAATGTCATGTTTAAATATGAGTATTTATAATTTTATTTGTAATATTGACCGGCATGAACCGACACAAACCGGTATGTGCCACCGGTTGAACCATTCCACTTGCTAAACCGGCACACTGGCATAAACCGGTTTGACAACCTTGGGTCAGACCCAAATGGAAAAGTACAATAAGGAAACAACCAACAATAAAAGCCAAAACAAGTGGCCCAAAGCAAAACACGGTCCAGAACCCAATAGAGCCCAGACTAAGGCCAAACACCCATGTTCCAGCCTCAAACCCTAGCCATTTTCTGCCTCTCATGAATCCTCCACCCACGACGCCGAAATCTTCGCCGCCGCTTGGTAACATCGATGGCAAAAATATTTGTAACCGTGGATATCCGCCCGAATCCGATCTAATTGGATAGGGTAAAACTCGAACCCGAAAGACTTTTAGTGGGTACGGATAAAATCCGAACCCGAATATTGTGGGTAATGGGTGGGCATTGTTTTCTCACTATCCAACCCGATCTCGCCCGATTATGCACATGCATGTGTATTTAGTCTAGAAATAATCATTTTTTCTCTAACATATTTTATATTTAGCATACAAATATAATATTTTCATGAAATTGTGTTGTTTTAATTAATTTTCTTCATTCTAATGATTTTTTTTATAATGGTGATAACCTTTATTAAGCAAAACAAACAAACTGTACAAAAGAGATCACAAGATCTGATCTCCAAAAGACAAAGGAAAGCGGAGAAAAAACAAAAAAAAAAAAAAAAAAACGGAAAGGAGTGTTAAGTGGACCAGACCACTCCTACACTAGTCCACCCGATGGGAAAATGCCCAAATAAGCTTCCTTCCAAAGTAGGGAACAAAAAACTTTTCCCCAACAGGACCGCGAGCAAGCCCACCCCACAACAACTACAACCAACCAAACCCAGATGATACAAACCATCTCCATGTCGCCACAAGGACGCAGCTGTATGCGACAATATAATGTGACTATATATGTGAATGTTAACATATTGGTTGGAGTTTTAGAGAGAAATTATTATCCATGGTAGCCGTGGATACCCAAAGCCCGAACGGGTATGGAAACGGTTTTGATTTTCTATCCATTTCTTAGGTGAGTATGGGTATGGGTAAAACCCGAACTACTTCGGATAAAATAACGGATATACACTATCTGTCCCCGACCCGAACCATTACCATCCTACAAACATGGTTGGATGATTTCATTTTATCTCTTTTATATCCCGTTGGATGGGGTACAACTTCAACCAAATTCCATCCCTCTTTTTTTACACAATGATCTAACAAAACCTTCGACTTTGCTTGTCCATATACATTTGGCTTTTGCCTTGATCACAATAATCGACTATAGAAATCCTTTCCCCGGGTAAAGGGACTTGCAGCAAAAGCAATAATAATAAAAATGTTTAGTCGGGACATGTCTCTAGGATTTGACAAACAAGTGCGCATGGAAAACTTTTTTGGGCAGTTTGGATACAACTGATCAATTTGACTCAATTGGTAACAAAAAAATTAGAATGATCAATTTATCATAAGAAATTTAAGATTAACTCGTTTTGAGATCATTACAATTGTTCGCGATGGGAGCAAGTAATTTAAATTGACTCGTTTTGTAGAAGGAGAGAATTAGCCAAATTATCTTGTTTTCGAATAGATCCATCCAAACAAACACTTATCTCCATCTAAAACTCCCTCCAAATCTACCGAATAGGTGCTTAGGCTTCAGATTTGTTACAGTAGTGTTCGTGGAACGCAATCGTATCATAATATCTATTTATTCTTGTCCTACACAGATCATTATTTTTTGTTCTCTGATGGATCGATCGATAACGCGTAAAGTGATACACTCATCCATACGCATTTAGAATCTACATCAAAGCTCAATAAGAAACTCGATCAAAAGTCAAAACTCTACCTACCCTATTACCAATCTTCCACATTTCCATGCTTTACTATAGCGTACAGAATGTCTATCACAGCAATCCATATAGATCAAACGAACTCTATAAAATTTACAATCTTCATCTCAATAGGTAAAACTTGGGTGGTCTGCTATACCTTCCATGCTACGCGAGGAATCATATATTACACAATCATCACTTGCCACTAAAGTATAAAGAAGAACCACGAGCAGGATAAATAACATGCTGTCACTAACAAAACCGCGTTGACTTGTATCACAAGATTCTCCCGAATCAGAAGTCAAAATCAAGACATTATATACACAAGCTCATACTTGCTCATTCATGCAGGAAATCACGCCAGCCAGCCAGCCATTAGTATCTTGATCTGGCTCCTTCTCCTGAAAATCTCAAAAGGATTGCAGTCCATCAAACGAACTGAACCAAATAGAACAGAATTTACAACAACGTTAGAGCGAACATGACACGTCCAGCAGGTAAGAAGAACAACTATTACAAACAACAAACCCTTTAAACTGCCAGATGAGAACCGTGTCTTCCTTCTGGTACCAACAAGATTGATCCAGTGAAAACGGTAATGATAGTGCAAGTCCAACAAACGGCATTGATAAATGGAAACCATGGGCTACAAAGAAATGTACTTGACCAGTAATAATGAAAGGTTAGTTGCCTAGAGGAAGAAGGCATCAGCAATGTCGATAGGGCATATCTCACCCATTGAAAAGAAATGTGTTTCCAGAATTTCAACTCCCAAGTAGGCACCTCCTCTGGGTCCATCATCACTTGCTCCTCCTTCCCCTTTATCTTCTCGGGACAAGTATGGGGAGCCGTCTTCTGGTTTCACGACCACCATTGAAGATAACAACCACACTCTGAAAACTGACAAAGCCAGCAGGGCACGCTTGTTGGCTACATACAGCACACAAAATGTGATGCTGGTACCGTGATCCTTCTCCAATAGGTCAATCACATTGCATTCAGCAAGTGGATGAAATTCAGCCGGTAATTGATCTGGTAGGAATTGTACGTCGGACATAACACCGTGAAAATTGGCCACTGTAGCAAAGACACGAGCTTGACAAGCTAACTGACATTCATTACCAATGGCGATGAAATAACCATCAGTCGCATGGACCATACCACTTCTTCTTTCTGTCCTTTGGCTGATTAGCAAACTTGACAAGTTTCTGCATGGCATATAATCCAAGGGAAATTCGTCTTCATTTTGAGACTCCCAGGTTTCCTTAACGGAATCAAAGATATGTACAATTTCAACCCCCTCACAAAGCTGTAACATAAACAGCCTGGGGCCGACGACACCAACATTGCCCCTCCACTCCCCAAAGAACGAGGAGTATACATCGTAGAAGGGAGGTATAGGAAGTGTCCTCCAACGATACGATTTCGAACAATGATCGAATTCTAAAACCTGGAAAGCTAATTCCGGTTTCCCTGGGCATCCGGGCTCCCCAGTGATAGGATCTCCATGAAGCACGTATACTTTCCCCCGGATGTTTGCAACAATCGGTTGTGGCATAGGGATCGGCAGGCGGTAATCAGGGATCTCGCGGAAGCAGCAGGTGGTTTTGTTAGGCAGATCTGAAGGATCAAATTCATAGACTTTGTCACTTGATTGGCAGAATTGAGAGGCGTCGTCGCCCATGGAATTAATTGTTCTGACAGGGTCTGGGCCTTTCAGAGATGTAGTTTCTCCGCCGACCAAATAAACCTTGTTATTAAGCCAGAAGAGGCTCATTCCAACAGGCAAAGCAAAATCACTGTGCATATCCAGCTTACAAACAGGGTTTGATAAGTGGATTTCCCCCACCTTTACGGTGTCTTCGAAAACCTTAATCCCCCAAATCGATGCATCAATCCCAAACCTCAAGTAAAGGGTTTTACCTTTCCATTTGGGTTCCGTCGCCGGATTCTTCTTGTACTCCAGTGACTCGCCGGTCATCATCAGCATTCAGAACAAGGTTGCCTTCGATTTCGATTCCACCAACCCTCCTAGGGTTTGCTTTCTCTCCTTCCTTGAGGTGTTCGAGCGAGGGGTTGTTGATGCAGCGTACGTGGGTAAAGGCTGATAAATCAAACGAGAGTCGATTTTGCGAGGAAAACTTCTTCTCTTCTTCGATCAATATCAAAAACTGCCGCCAACTAACAACGAGCAGCCCTATATATAAGGCTTACCAAGAAAACCCAAGCCGACTACGACAAGGAAAGAGGGGGAAAATTTGTAAAACTGCACAAAGGTCCAAATAAGAACGAAACTAAGTAGGCTACGTGTTCAGTTTTTTATACGGTTTTGATGGCTGGCTAATGCAATTGCAGGGCTTTCTTTTCTTGTTGGGCTTTTGTCTTTGATTTGCCCACACGGGCCTTGTAAGAAAGTAAGAAAGCCTTCCAGAAGTATTCTGGCTTTCCGGCTCAAAACACCACTCAACCATCAACATATATCCGAACCGTTGGCGCCACTCAACCATCAACATATATCCGACGCCATGGTCGGAATGTCATTGAATACAATATATATATATATATGATGTTTATTTGAATTTTTTAAATTACTTGAAATGTTGAATTTCGTATGACATTAAGGTGGCATCGAAATTATTTTTCCATTTTCGAAATTCTAATAACTTTCCATCAATGATGAACATTGTCAGCTTAATTATTATAACCAAAGTTGTCAAACCGGTTTAAGTTGTTGAGATGGTCAGGCAATTAGTTTGAAGTTCAATTGTTTGATTGAGGTCCAACCTGTTTGAGGTATTTTACACATTTTCAAAATATATTTACATATAAGATAGAAATTTAGTGACTGAAATGGAATTTAATAACTTATATCTATTAAAAACTCAAATTCCATAAGAAAACATACTTATTTCAAGATCCATCCAACACCCTCTTGCCTCTCTCCCCACTCCCCCTTCCCTCTCTCTTCTTCTCCTTCTCTAACGATCAGACACTTGATTTTGTAGAGCCCGTTTCGGAACACAACTTTGGTCGGACCTAATCCAACCAGCCGCTCGATAGAGGTGTAACAACCTTGGTTATAACACTCGTGAATAACCATTCATAACTTGTCAATTTAATGATGTAGTCACTCTGAAAAGAAAATTGACATAACAAAAAAAGAGTTTGTCTTAAAAAGCGTAACATTTATAGGAAACTCGTGATCATAAACTTTATTCAATATTTATTTCTTATGCTTGAGAAACAATACATATATAACGGTTCTAAACCTTAAAGTATTATGTACAATACAATAACAAAATTAGTAAGAAAAAAACATTTTCCATCCATACTCTATGCATTGATAAAAATATTTATCAACCAATATACTCTAGATTTAGTTGAAGTACAATCTTAATTAGTGGGTGTGTCATGTGTGGATACGTTGTTTGTGAAGATTCACATTATTTCAATTTTGGAATTACTCCTATAAGATTGAGGCCGTCACGACAGGGAAAGACTGTTGTGGCAGGCAGACGATTGAACGAAGGAGAGACAGCTAGAATTAGAAAGACGAAAAAAATGTTTGTGCAAACTCCCATTAAAGAAGAAGAAGAAATACACTACATGATAAACAGAGAGATAGAAAGATTAAAAAAGTAAGAAAATTTAATTTTCTTTCTTTGAAAAAAATATTTTCGAAAAATATTTTCCTATTTTTGACAATATGACATGATAGATAGGTGGCATGACATCAACATCGGATCTAGGGGGCCGCCCTTGAGCCACGCCCATCCCTCCTCTGGATCCCCAGCTAGTATAGCGCATGTAATTTTCAATTTTGGTATTCGTTTCAGTGTTAGTCACACTGTGTGGCTTCATCAGCATCAAGTTTCACTGTCCCCGGTACTCCTAGAATTTTGAAAAAATAATTATTCAATCACGATAGTAGTTTATGTATGGACAAAAGAAATATATAAGTGGTAGTTTAGGTACTTTGAACCTAGAACACTCTATCATTGATAAACATATTTTTCATTAGCCTACAACTCATTTGTTGTTGTATTTTAAACACAAGTTTAATAGAAAAAATGTTGTTCATTTCCCTAATTATTTTCAAAATCTAAACCCAATTACGGGCTACCCTTATTCCATCTAGTCTATCGTATCCAATGGTGTTTACTTGCTTCTCAAAATTATTGATTGCGACTGCAAGCGTTGAAATAACATATTCAATTTAAGATACTTGACTCGCACGAAACTACACCGCGAATTAATCCCGACTAGAGCCCAAGTTTTTAAACTCTAGCAGGGTGCAGTACAGGGCAAGTATTTAAATTGTCAACCCCGGCCGGTCCATGTCCCCTACTTCAATCGCTTAAGTTGTTATCTAGCAAACGGTTTTGGGTTTAAAACTAGGTAAACTACAAACTAAACAAGCAAGGAAAGTAAATGGAGGAGGATTATACTTGAGAGAGTTTCACCCGGGTATTGCTCCCCCTAGTCTCATGCTAAGTGGCAACAAACAAAGCTCTAGTGTGAAGGACGTGTTCATACACCGCTAGGTGGGCGCAACTAGCTAGGGACAAACTCCTTTAGTCGATCAATGAAGGAAAATCAACAAATATAAACTAGGGGAACTAGCTCTCTTAACTGTTAGGTCAAGGATTGTGATTCATAACTAGAGAGTCTAGCCCTCTTTATCGATCAACCAAGGAGATCCCTAACTCTTTCTTAGTTAGCTAATTGAGAGTCGTTGCAACAAGTTAGGAAGCTAACTCACTTAAGCTTTCGGCTAAGGGTGACAACGATAGGCTAGGGAACCTAACCCTCTCAACTATCCGGCTAAGGATTGCAAACCAAACCCTCGGAACTTATTCTGGTCGGCGGAGAGAGCTATCCCGGTGGAATCACGGCCCTACTGCGATATTTTTATTTTGATCTTAAATTGACCTAAAGGAGGTTACCCAAGTGGCTAAGGAGTCTAGCTCCTAATTAGACCAAGAGGGGATTTCCACCCCCTAGGTAAATTTCACCCAATATTGAGTTAAAGCTTGCACACTCAATCATTCCTTAATAATATCTCAAATAACATATAAAACACTCAATCAACACAATAGGTTCATGTTCTTTCAACCTAACACATAGAGAGACTAGGGTTCACTATACCCGAGTGAGTAGGTAGGCTATTCCATAGCTAAACAAGAGAAAACAACAAAAAGGGAAGAAATAACCATGAAGTGATGTCAATCTTCCCTCCTTGTTTCTTGAGACACCCTTGAGATGAAGAAATCTTCAATCCTCTAGCTAGGAACAAGCCCAAAGCTCCTTCTTCTTCCTTTGATTTGCACTTTCTCACTCTAGAAGAAACCCTAACCTCTCACTAGAATCCTCTTTATTTTGAAAATTGAAAACCTAACCTAAAATGAAGCTCTATTTCTCTCTCCCCGCTAATGTCTTCGTATTTGCCCGAAAGCGACCAGTTCACGACCGCGTTGGCCAGTTCACAGCCGTGAACACCTAAACGCAACCATGAACTCAGTTCGTCTCCAAAACACACCGCTTCACTCTCTTGGGTTCACGGTTAATGGCCCCAGTTTACGGTCTTAGCGACTGTGAACTCGCCTGGCGTCAGTAACCTCTGAAACCTCGTTGGACTGCTCGATGTTCACGGTTTGTGGCTCCAGTTCACAGTCTTAGGGAACCGTGAACTCCCTTGTTTGACCGTGAATTGCGTCTGCTTCTTGGACGCATGCACTTCACTGTTACGGGGCAATTGTCACGGACTTCGGACTTTTCTTTGGTTTTTGCGCTTTTTGACCTCCAATTATCCCAAAATTTGACCTCAACCCTTCCACACGTGCTTGGACCTGAAATGTATAAAAACAAGCACAACCTAGCGTGAAATATGTCGGGGGACGATGAAATGCAAAGTCAAACTATCAAGAAATGAGGGACAAAATGTGTACATTTGGACCCGAATCAATACTTTAAGAATGAGTTTCGGAATCGAATAAGCGAACAGTTCGTGAATAATTGTATAGTAAGATAGAGAGATTTGTTGAGCCGTGTAGACACCGAGAGTATTTTATAAGTTTTTTATGGTATAAAAACATGTCATGAACTTTTGGTGTAACTTGTACTAGTTTGATATTTTCTTATTTAAGAATTGTTAATTTAATTTTTGAAAGAGAACACCCCTTATAAAGTTTCTTGCTCTGTCACAACATTGTAGTGGCACAAGGGAATGTAAATGGAGGATGTTCAAAGATACATTCAATTGGCTAGCTTTCCTTACACCATATCAATATCATAACGGTGAAATGAGTTACATGCACCTAAACGTGGCAAATGAATTGGATCCATAGATTGGTGGATTGAATTGGCAGATCCACGGATCAAATGGATTGGTAAATTCATTGATTGAATTATGTTGGTGGATTGAATTGGATCCACGGATCCAAGTGACATCCATGTATTGTTTTCAATGTGTAAATTTTAAAAAGTTTCAAGGTACTACAACTATAATAAAAATAATAATTAGGTACCAAAACATAATTTTCCAATGATATTTTTTGTATAAACATAAAGTGTAGATACTTACTTGTAATATGCCAATAATCTACAAATTCACCAATCCAATTGGATTTGGATCAAATGGATAGAATTAAATGGATTGAATTACAAATTACCATAGTTCATGCTTCGTAGATTTCCATGCACCTATGGTCACACATTTCCCGTATATTTGAGATCCATGAGAGGTTAAAGCCTTTCCATCACTTTACCATAACCCCTTAAATACTTGGAATAGGCTTGAGACCTCAAAACGTGCCAAGACTACAAACCTATAGGCAGACAGCTTTAGTTTGTATCCTTATCACACGATGATTCCCACCTGCTTATACACTTCGAACAGACGGCTAACAAAGCTAATGGTCGACCGTCACACTGAACGTCGGTATATTCTAGCTACGGCTACAACCGTTGTTATGCAAAATACAAAGCGTCGTTAAAGGGATTATATTATTGAAATATCATCCTGCGCGTCTAGCAACGGCCAAAACCGTCGGCAAAAGGAAACCAACCGTCGCTAAGTTACCTTACTCTTTTTTGGAAAGAACCTACTCTCAATAATCACCTCTTGCCTGTTGTGATTCCCAAATATCAATATTTAATAATTTTAACTACAGACTAAATCTGATTTTGGAAGCCTTTATATTAAATCTCCAAATTTGAGAATAAAACCATCATTTCTCAACAACAACCAAAAAAAAAAAAAAATCACAATCAGCAT